GCTGTTTTCTTTTATTTTCAAGTTTATCGTAAATGCTGCTGTATGTTCTCAACGAATGTTTTCATCAAACTCTACACTGAATTTGAGCTAAATATAAATTTGTTCCTCATACCTTTTAGCGTACTCAAAAGATATTTTTGTTGTGATACCAGCGTAAAAAGTTTTCTTCAATTAGCAACTAGATGACAGACGAAAATCAATGAAAAACTATTTTTGCAATGGTGACTTCTCGTAACTGTGGGTTTTAGTCTCATTATGTATGGGATTAAGATAGCTGTTAAAATTATGAACATCACCAGAAAGGTTTTTGAAACGCGATTCTTTTTTTTTTTTTCGATTTGAGCCTCAGCTGCACATGTATGCAAATTTTGGGTTCTGTCCTGGTGTACCGGTTCACAAGGGAATTACCATTGTTCTTTCTTTGTTTAGGAGTTATCGGTTAGCTATTGTGTATTGTTTGGTCTTTTGCATTGGCTCTTGTGAACCGGTACACGAGGACAGAACCAAATTTTACAAAATTATTGCATTGATAACATTGTTTCATTTAATTAATATATAGTTATATTATACAGTTTAAATGTTATATAACTGTGTTACATCTGCAACAATATGGTGTCTTGTAGCCATTTAAGATACCATATGCCTCTCTTGGAAGTCACAGGCTAAGCAGAGTTTGATTTGCTCCGACGAAGGGCTCCGAATTCGCTCCGATGAAGGGCTAACACTCGAAATGTCAGCTTTTGTAATCGTTATGGTGGCCAATTTACCATTTCAACTTTGTTGATATATCCAAATTATTTCGTTACTCCCACCGACGCAGCCCCAAACAGTTTCTTTCGAAACTATCAGCCTTTAGAGTTTGATTTGGTCTGTAATGTCATTCTCATAACCATTGTTTTACAGAAAAAATGTCAAATATCATTTTGTCTGATAACTCCAATTTTTTTTTTAAGATTAAAAAAATATTTTATTTGATTTTGTGTTTTTTTTTTTTATGTTCAGTTTATATATCTCTTTTCCATGGTTTCCAAGTCTACTTTGCTTTGCTCATGTACTATGAAGACCATAGATTTTTATTGCTCTTAAGAATAGATAACCTTTTTTGGTCAATGAATTTTTGAATCCTGAAAAAAGAAACAATTACACCAGACACTTGCTTATGAAATAAAGAAAGAGATATTTTCTTGTTACGAGCAAGTGAGGCAGAAAAAAGCTGTGTCTTCATGAGGAATGGAACCTTACACCATTGGTTTCCGTGCTCTGATTTTCTATCACTAGGTCAATTAGGGACTCTGCAGAGAGCTTAGTCACTATTGGCTTTATAAAAAGATACATGACAGATGAAAATGCTTGGATCACCAAAGTCAAAAGCATTGTTTGAGTTAACTAATCCTTTACACCATGACATCAGTATGCATATTCTCCATACTGTTCTCTATACATTTCCTAAGGTGCGGACAAGGAGAATTTGTTTAACAATCAAGAGCTTGTTTAGTTGTTGATCATTTCCTTTACTCTCCTGACCTTATTGTGTGATTTAGGGCTGATATTGTAGGGAGAAGTAAGATGCTAGTCACAAAAGCAAGATTTTGAATTTTTGTTCTGTTCTTGTTTTTCTTAGAATAAATCCTTAGGGAAATCGCTGAATCTGAAGTCAGGGCCTGTTCCCGGATCATTCCTGTTTGGGACACCTTCTTACCCCTCCCCTCTGGATCGCATTAGACCAACCAAGAAGGACCGTGCCATTGAACTTGGTTTAAGCACTGCACTGCAAGACTCTCTGGATCTCAATGCTACTTTCCCTAAAATGTATAAGGCAAAATCAAAGTTAGAAGATAACAACATGGATGTTTTCAAGCCCAGCAGAAATCTTGATCAGATATCAAGTGAGTTTGATTTGATGGTTGAGTTAAAGGTGGGATATTGCTTTCCAATGGTTAATTCATTATCCAGCAGATAAGTGTTAACAAAGTAGACAGGGCTATCCACTGGATGGAGATTTTTCTGGTGGATAGTGTAACCACCCTTTGAACAATGAGGGCCAGGTTTATCCATTGTGTGCTATCAGGTGCCATATAAGCAATTGATGATCAGTGATAGAATTTTGGCAAGTTCAGAGAAAACAACACTCTTGATCATTGCAAATTATTTGCTTCTCTTTAAATATTTGTGCCAAAGAAACTCCAAAAACAAAACAACAAGGGGTCATGAAGGAGAATAATTATATATAAATTCCAAATAAGGAGAGACATTGTTTGAGGAACCAAAATGTTGCAAAGACCCACACAAAACATTTGAACTGAGGGGATATTACAAAGAACCCTCAACAAGAATTCCTTGGAATGCAAGAAATACAAAATAATAGTGCACTAAAGGAAAATAAAAGGAATCAAAAATTCATTGCAACATGAATCATGTAATAAAAAAAACTGCAGTCTTGAGTTTTTACAATTGAAGTTAATCTTCGCAACCTCACAACACACTATTTGAGAAGAAGAGATTCAAATAAATATTCTTAAAATAACATAATTTGAGTAACCTGTTTTACTCATTTACAATTTTTCAGGTAATTGCAAGATATTCGAAAAGTGAACAACTGTTTCTTTTATATTCCAGGTGATTCATTGCACAGCTTTAGTTATGCACCTGGCCATTGCAGGGGCTCTTTCTTGGAAACTTCCCCTGATCCTCGCCTGACGTCTTCATGGCAGTTTTATAACTTTGTTGGTGGAGCAGGAACTGGAGCTGTCTTTCCAACAACAGTGCGAAATCCTGTAAGTAGCATATAACTGCAACTTACAAATTGTAGATGTTTCATATAAATATGACTTGGTTCTTTTCTGAGTGCCAAGTTCAACTCTTTAAAGTTGTCATTTGGTTGCATTAAATTATGTGTATTAAATGGCTACTGGAAAAACCTTAGGTTGTGAGGAAAAAAAAGAAAATCAGGAGCGTTCTATTTTCCTGACTTGTCACTGATTTCTGCAATGATTAGCGATCATCAAAGATATATGAAATTTTGTGTCTTCACTATTGCAGATGTCAGTGATAGTTTTAGCTGACTACCAATCCTCTTATTGCTTGATTCCAAATAACATGGTGTCCGTATTCCACCAAGACAATCTTCTGGTGAATTTTGATTTATCGGAAAAATCTGAGACAATTGGAAAACAGGCCTTTACCATACCAATAATTATTGGCTAACCTTACTGTACCATTAAAGATCTGAAGAATGCCACTCTCATCTGCCACTTAACCCTTGAATTCTTAAAGGGAGTGACAGTTACATATATACATAAATACATACATATGTTGATTGACCACTTCCCCTGGGGGCTTTTCAGGGCCAATTCCTACCCAGCAACCACCCCAGGGGAGGACATCCATCACACAGTAATCTCATGTATGGGAAATTAACGTCTCCTACCCCTAACCCTGCAGGAGACAGGACCTTTATTTATTCATCCCTATCCGATAAGACTAGAGTATCTAACCATTTCTTGATGTAGAAAGGTAGCATATTCTTCTCACTTGATTTAAGACCTTGAGTGTTGGTCAGGCCGGGGCTTGAACCCTCTACCTCCCACACAACTGTCCAGAGCTCTATCCATTGAGCTAACTGGGAGGCGGTAACCTTGTAATTTTTTAATGCATTGTCCTGAAAACAGGTAATGAAAACAGACAAGCTCAGAAGCTGATATAACCAGGGCTCGCCACTAACTTTTCAATTTACTAGCAAAGTGGCAAGTGACAACTTAGATGTTCTAACAATTTTGGTTTGCTTACCAGCCAAACTGGCCAGTGGAGATAAAAAACCACTAGCCAAAACTGAATTTCTTCTAGTCTGTGGCTATAGTTGGCTACTGTTCGTGTCAAGCCCTTTAACACTAATTTCTCCTGTCTAATTCACATGGAAATATATGGCTTTTATGGAGGAGAGTTTGTCATTGGATCTTGAAAGTTAGGCTTGAATTAAGCTTATCTTCACTTTGAATTTTTCTTTCTGCAGAACAACGCAATTGTCACAATTAATGCTAGGACATCAGAAATTTTGACAGCCAATGACATGGCAGCAGAGCTGTTTGGCTACTCCACCAAGAAACTCATTGGAATCAAAATGTCACAGCTTTTTGTACACAAAGAAAAGCAAGAAGCTCTCGTGGAGCAGCATATTGAAGCCAGTGGTGCTGTTGTTATGGTGAATGGAAAAGTGGTAAGTGAGCAGAACATCGCTTGCTTTATATTTTTTTGTTTGGTCTGCAAAGCTTGACATTTGTGAGGGTCAAAATTTGTCGATTTGTGGAAAAGACATACATTAATCTGCGAGTATATGTTTCTACAGGAAGAAAAATCCTTTCTGTTTCACCTTGTTCTTTGATTGAATGAATGTTTGTTGTGATTTAGTTGGACGCTGTGGACAGTTGTGGAATTGTGTTCCCTGTTTCTGTGTGGATGAAGAAGCTGACTTGGGAGGAAGAACCAAGATGCATCACTGTTATGGAACCAGTGGAAAGAAAAACAGCCATGGTTCTGTTTGATGCTGAGGTACATGTACTATATAACTTATATTTTTGAAAGTAACCAAGTAATGTTTACCTCAGTAGACGATAAGCAGTCCTTTTTCAAAAAATTTTTCAAAAAATTCAGCCGAAAAAAAATTTGATGTCAGCGCACCAAATGGAAGTTGAGCACAGTATGCTAATATCAAATTTTTTTGTTGATTTTAAATTTGCTGAGTTTTGTCTTTTTTGACTGGTTCAAAGAATTTTGCCAAAAAGGAGGAACTGCTTGGAATCTAGTGCCTCAGAAAAAAAAAAATTTGTTTTGCAACACTGTAATCTAATCAAAAGTATGTGCCTTCTTTTCAGGGCGTTATAGTGGATTGTGATCAAGATCTTTCAACCCTTTATGGTTACTATGTTACCACAGATTTGATTGGAGTCAATATTAAAAAGTTAATACCTGCATTGGAGTTGCCAACAAGTGAGAATATGAGCAAGGTTTGTATCAAATGATTAAAACAGTTAACATTTTTCTGGAACATGCAGTACTAAAGAAATTGGACCTTGTTTTTGGAACTTGAGTTGAATGTGTATGACATGTACAACCAAGCAAAACAGCTGCCATTAAAGAGTGGACCTATGAGTGAACCTTTTTATGAACTTGTTGCCATAATTGTGAGGATTGCAATGCTCTGATAAAATCATGCTAAAACCTGGCTAGTAGGAGTTAACTGCCATGTGCTACTCACATAGCCATGTGTAATCATTGGAACTTGTCTGCTGAAAAAGATGGGGTTCATACAGAATCTTGAATTCTTAAAAAAGTATGGAAATTTTCAAAGTAACTTTCCAGACCTAGAAAAATTTTGGGAACAAAAGTGTGGAAAAAAAAAGGGAAGAAGTTTATAATTTTTACAAGCAGCAACAGGAGGGAAATATTAGTACGGTAGCTGAATTTCCATTATGATACCTCCACCAAAACATTTTATAATTACCCTCAGAGAATTTTTACAACCAGAGAACTTTTAGCCAATCCTTGACATTGTGTGCTTGCATTTTAAGATGAGAAGAGGCAATCAAAATGTCTTCATTGTTGGTGGATAGCTTGAATCAAGGATTGATAGTGACTCTAAAGGCAAATCATCAAACATTTCTTTATCATCACAACCTTCGTAAACAAACAAATTGTTTACAACGTACACACTAATTTATTTTCGCTTTCTCTCTCCAAGCATGTCAAAAAACAAAGAGCAACGGGAAGGACGAGGGATGGGGCGACATTTCCACTGAGCATCTCCCTCAAACCAAAATATGGCAAGGATTTGAAGAAGCTTGATCGTGACAAAAAACTCCCCGAGGATCAACTTTTCTTCAAGGGCGTGGTCTGGGTATTTGCTAACATCAGTGGACTAGTGACGTTCACACCTGATGGAGTGATCCATTCCTGCAATCACAACTTTGCTCTTATGCTCTTTGGTTATGCACAGGAGGAGCTGGAAGGAAAGGTAACATTTGAATGCCCACAGTAGCAATGGTGATGATGAAGATGATGATGGTGACGATAATCGTGACTATGACAATAATGATGATGTTACTGATGCTGACAATGACGATGTCCTTGAACATGTAGCACTTTGTTTGATTGTTATAAATGATGGCTAAGATAATGGTTAACAGTACCTCATTTGAGAGTTTATGCGCTCATCAATTTAA